CCCGATTTCTTCCCCTGCTAGGCAGCAGGGAGGGCCCGTGTCTCACATGTCTGTGTGGGGTGCTGGGCGGCTTCTTTTGGGTTTGGGCGGCCCCTGTGCTCTGCTGTGGCGAGGCTGGGGGGCCGCAGCGGGTGGAGGCCGAGGATTAAAGGCAGGGCGGCGCTCCTGCAGAAAGCGGGACTTCCGGAGCGTCTGTAATCAGCGCCATTCACTGGGCAGATGGCACCGCTTCCTCTCAGAGCGCGGGCACCTGCCTGGGGTTTTGTTTCTGCGACGTTCTTGGCCTTGCGGACTCCCTAAATAGCCCTGCAGCCTGGGGCGGGCTCCGGGGGCTGAGAGTTCTGTGTTCCCAGCCTGCTCCCCGGAGAAGCAGGCGTCGGACCCCACCTCTCACGCCTCTCACCCCTCACCACCTCTCACAAGGCTGGTCTGGGCTGTGCGGCTCTCACGGCCCAGGGGTCTGTCGGGGGAGGCCATGGTGCTCTCCGCCGCAGCCAGGGCCCCGAGGGAAGGCTGGCCTCCGCTTTCGAGGTGGGGACCTCTGCACTCCCCTCTCAGGGGCCGTGGGGGGCCAGGGGCAGAGGCCACTTGGTGTCAGCATCTGGACCCTTCTCCTGGCAGGCACAGCTCCAGTCTCAGCTGCTGCTGACCGCTGGGATCTGGGGAAGGCCTGGGTTACCGGGAGGGGCATCCCAAGCCCCCATGGTCGAGTGCGGCTGACCCTGCCCTGCATCTCACCACTCTGCAGCCACAGCAAAGGCGGGTGTCCGTCTGTGCCCCCGGCTGGCCGGGGCCTCACTATGCTTCTGCTCATCCCCTTCTGGAGACGCTGGGCTCCAGACACCCCCGTGACCCTCCAGGCCAGCAAGTGCTCCAGGAGCCAGGGGGTTTTTTCTCTCCAGCAGAGTAGGTTCTCCTGACTGTGAGTCCTGAGCCCCCTGCCCAGGTTGCCTCCCCGCACTTGCACGCATTTCCATCTCTGCAGCTGGAAAGGTCCATTCATTCTGTGAGGCACTGCAAACGGGTGAGGAGCAGCTGGTGTGGGGTCGAAGCGCTGGCAGCGTGAGCCCTCGGTGGGGCTGGAGGGGAGCCAGGCAGCGGCTGCGGGGAGGGAACCTGGGGGAGGCCAGGTGCCCACGGGGGCGGCTATCGCCCCTAGACCCCAGTGCTCAGGACGTCTGTGCTGCTCACGTGCATGCGTTTATGGGCGTTGGTGCTGATGTGCACACACGCGTGATTGTATGTGGTTCTCGAGTGTAGGCCTGTGCCTCCCCTTGGCAGGGTGGGACGCTGCAGGGGCCCTGCGGTCAGCCCAGCACCCTGAACCCCGCTGTGGGTGACCCCGCTGCGTGGCTGCCATGTCAGGGCCGAGGCAAGTGCCTGGGTCCTGCCCCTGTGAGTTTCTGGCTCCCTGAGCCCAGAGGGGGACCTGGGGTGGAATCGCTGAGCCCCACTTGGGAGCAGGTCTGTCTCTGCTGGGGTTTGCTGCAGGGCTTCGTGGAAACCGCAGCTCCCTCTGGTCAAGCTGACCTAGAACGGTCTGGCTCTGAGCCCCCGGCTGGCCACTTGTGCTCCCCACCCCCACACTGACCTCAGGTCAGCACCCAGTGAGGGAGATCGGGAGCCCCAGCCGAGGCCCTGGAGAACAGAGATGAGACCCTGCCCAGCCCCAGGCTGTGGGGGACGAGGTCCTGTCTCAGGCGGCAGGCCTGCCTCATCCTGAGCCCCCGGAGGGGGCACTTCGAGGCCTGGTGTGGGCTTGGGGGTAAGAGCAGTGGGCGACCAACAATGTCTGCTCCTCCCGCCTCCCCCAGTGGGAGAAGGGTGCCCTGGAACCAGCATTCACCCCTGCCGGGGCCACGTGGTCCCACGGCCCCTGCTCCACAGGCCGTAGGAGTGTGGGCACAGAGCCCCATCCCCGAGCTGGCTGGGGCCTGGCCTCCCTCCTGTGGACAGTGACATGCAGGGGAGGGGCAGGCAGGGCTCGATGGCAGAGCCCCCAGGTGAGTGGGAGGGGAGAGGGGCTGCCGCTGGGCCTGCTGGGGGCTTGGTTGGAGCTGGAAGGAGCTGCAGGGCCCAGGGGACAGCCTGCTTCTCATCCATCGTCCTGCTCTCCAGCCCTTTGTGACCCGAATTCAGCTCTGGGCGGTGGCACACTCCTACCTGCGTGTGCTCGAGGGTGGGTTTGGAAAGCCGTTGGCTGGTGACTTCGGGCTTGCTCTGGGGACTTGGGGCTGGCTGGGGGGCTTCAGCACAACTTCCCCCCCAGCTCTCAAGGTGACCAGCTTCCCTCCCCACTGCCCCCACCACGAGGTTTGCCTGGAAGTAGGACACACAGAAGGGACACGGCCCCGCAGGACCCCGGACACCCTCAGGCCACACCCTCAGCCCACACTCCCCTTGGTTTGGGACATCTTGGAGGGGCTGTGCCCACGGCTTGGTGACAGCCGGCCATTGGGCTGAGCGCTGACTGCTCGCCACCCTCAGTCTGCCCCTCCCCCTGCCCACTTTCCTCTCCGTCCCCCTGCCTTTCCCCATTGCTCCTCTTGCTCCATGGGCCTCGTGGCCAGTGTGGTCACCATGCACTGGGGTCTGGGGCGAGGTGTTCAGTTCTGCTCAGTGACCTCGTCTAGTCCCCTGGCCACATGGGTCCTGCTGGAGGACTGGGTACTCCACTGCTGAGGAGGAGGTGACGTCCCGGGGCCCCTCCTTTCCCCCCAGGCTCTGATCTTCTCTTGGCAGGACAGGCATGTCCTCCATCTCCCATCCCAGGTGACCAATGAGTGAGCGAGAGGAAATCCTCCGGGGACCCTCGCTTGACTGGCCAGGACTCACTGTCCCCCCCCCCCCTCCCCCATACAGACCTAAGGGAGCCAGAAACCTGCTCGGCTTGCTCCAGCCCGCCCTTGTTCACTGGCGGTCAGGACACTTCATCATCCCCCAGTGGGCCCTGCTGTCCCCCAGCCCATCACCTGAGCATGATGGGGTGCTCATGGCTGAAAGGGGGCCTCCAGGTCTGCTCACAGCCAGGTCCCATGCCCTTTGCTCAGAGGATGACAGACTGGTCCCTCCACCCTTCCTGCTCCCCTCCCTGTGTGCTGGCAGGGCATTCGAGTTGTGGGGGCAGGATGGGCTGGGCCTGTCCTGGAGGGTAGCAGGCGGTGGGGCTGGGGGCTCCGGGGTGAGTGCAGCTTGGCTGGCATGAGGAGGAGCGAGGAGACAGATGCCCCCAGACCGTGACCCAGACAGGCGTCATAGGGTGGGCCAGGGGTCAGCGCTATCCCAGGATGAGCATTGGTGAGAGAAAAGATGCAGAGGTGGGATGCGGGAACAGCCGGGGGTCTGGGGAGCCAAGGAGAAGGAACTCGTTGCCCCTGGACGGGGGGAAGCAGGAGAGGATGGAGTTGTTGACCTGCTGGGGACCCGAGGCCTGGGGCCACTGAGGCGGGCAGCCACCGCACGGCTGGGGCTGAGGAGGTGGCTCCGCTGTTGGGTCTTGCTGGAAGAGATGAGCTGGAAAGGCCCTTGGTGGATGCAGGTGGGGGCGTGGGCTTCTGATGGAGGAGGTTGGGGTGGGGAGCGCAGAGGGGGCCGGGCAGGGAGGACCCCTGGGTGCTGGGGGTGGCCTGGGGGTGGGTCCCGGGGGCTGGGAGCCTCATCCCAACTACAGGGGTGGGAAGCCCCCTCTTCTGACTGCCAGCACAGACAGCTCCCCTTCATGCAAGGCTGACGCAGGCCTTGGTGCTGGACGGTATGGCCTGCCCCGAGAGACTCCCTCGAGGGACTCTTGGCCGCTGGCAGGAGCCCCCTGGTCTCGGCCGGGGGGTGGGCTTGATGGATGGCTCAGGGGTGGTGGCCTTGGGGGAGGACAGGCCTGTCCGCTATGGGGCAGGGAGTCTGCGTGCAGCTGGGCGCCAGTGGAGGGGGGCCTGGGGGCCTTAGGTGTGCATCAGAGGGGGCGGCGGGCACGCACCTGCCAGGCCTGCACAACTCAGGGAGGAGGAAGATGCAGCGGGCAGCATCTCCTGCTGCCTGCCCAGTGGCTGTCCCTGCCCCCAGGGTGTCCGCCACCATCATTTAGCAGACATACACATGTGTGGCCAGAAGGGGCTCCTACGCCGGGACCAACCTGGATTGGCGCTGCTCGCTGGCTCTGCCCCCGCGAGACTTACTTCTGTCCCTGCCAGGTGGGAAGCCCCGGGACTGAGGGGACCAGGTTGCCCTGGGGTCTGGCCTCGCTGACTTCCTGTGTTGTGTGCGGTCGTCCCTTCTGAACGGCGCCCTGGGAACCCCTAGCAGCTTCCCCCCACCGTGTGGACGTGAGCCTGTGGTGAGCTTGGCTCACCAGGAGGGGAGGGTTCCCATCTCTGACCCCTGCGGCCCTGGCCCCGTGTGGTCACCAGTCAGAGCCCCCCCACAGAGCACACTCGGTCTCGGAGTGGCAATCTTTTATTGGACACACCAGGAAAGGTCTCCAGGAACGGGGAGCTTCCTGGGGGGATGGGAACAGTTGAAGGGCTCCTTGGGTCAACTGTGAACTTTTGGTCCTTTGAGGGGGTAGCTCCGGTGAGTGAGAGGTGGCAGGGTGGGTTCAGGGGTGGGGATGGGTGGGGCGGATCCCGCACTGCCCTGGGCTCTGCCCCTGGGTCGGGGGCTGGGGAGGTCTGTCTGTGAGCAGGACCTCATCCCTGGTCCGCTCGGCCATTTCCCTCCTCCTCCAGACTGGCCCTGAGCCTCTCGGCAGGCCCCCCAGTGCCCCAGGCTGGCCCTGCCCCCGTCAGCGTTTGGGGGGCCCTGTGGGCATCTCCACCTTGGTCCTGCCCAGCAGAACCAGCAGCTTGAGTCCACGCCGTCAGCCCCCAGCTGCACCCCACGGCTGGCGTAGCCAGGGCTCAGTGTGTGTGCAGCGGCATTTGCCCCTCATCACCCCGGCCTCGGGGGGTCCCTGTGCCACAGCCCCTGCAGGGTCAGAGGTCACTCACCTGGGCCCAGCGGCCTGCCTACTGTCGGGCACGCAGGCAGTGGTCTGTGAAGAGGAGTGCGGGTTGCTGAGCGGGGGTCTGAGCCGTGCCCTTCCAGCCTCCGGGTCTGGGGTGGGGGCGGGCACTTACCCGCTCGGGTCAGGTTGATGATGTTGGCCGGGCTAATCCCGTGGCTTTTGCAGTAATTCCTAAATGTCTGCATGACGTCACAGCTCGCGGTAGGGGTCCAGCCTGCAGACACAGCAATAGGGGCTGTCCCTCTGGCAGGTCATTTGGGACAATGGGCAGTGGGGTTCTGCGAGCTTGGAGACGGCCCTGGATTTTCAGGGTGCAGGCAGGGTTGTGGGGACGAGCTGTTGTGACCAGAGTGGGAGGGGTGTGCCCAGAGGGCCCCATGCCAGGCCAGAGAGGAGGCAGGGGGCCCCACAGAGGGACACCCGGCCCTTGGGTGGGGTCCGGCCTATCCTCGGAGCCCCGGTCCTTGCTGTTCCTGCCAGTGATGCCTTTGTTTACTGCACGTCAGGATAAGGGGCCGGTGTCTGGGGCTTGGCTTGTTTCAAGGCCAGCAGAGCGACCCAGACGTGTTTGGGAAGTACCATGGGGACACAGGTGCAAGTTCGCTGCCCCCTGCCCTGCGGCCCCAGCCCCAAGAACCCAGCGCCCGCAAAGCAGAAGCAAGCAGCAGGAGGGGGCGGTGGTGCCTGCCCACCTGGCTGGTGAGCCGCTCCTCGCCCTCCCCAAACGTCGCCCTGCTCCAGGGCCGGCAGTCCCCCCCGCCCCACCGCACGCTGAGTGCTGAGCTGGAATTCCCGGCCTGGGTGTGGCCAGTTTCTCCTGGACATTTGGACCTCACCCCACTGGCCCTGTAGGTCTGGGGGCCCAGCATGGGGCCACGCACTAAATCAGATCGTCTTCATGCTCCCTGCGTGGCTGGATTGGGTCCCCCTGAAAGGTGTGGGCAAGTCCTGGTCCCCAGAACTTGGGAATGGGACCTGCTTTGGAAGCAGGATCTTTGCGGGTGTGGTAAGGGTCTTAGGATGAGGTGATGCTGAGTTCGGGATGGGCTGGAAAACCAGTGACAGGTGTTCTTTTATGGGAAAGGGAAGGGAGGCTTGAGAACAGAGGAGAAGCCCCGTGGGGATGGGGGCAGAGCTCAGGGTCGCCGGGGGCCCCAGGAGCTGGAAGGGGCAGCAGGTGGAGGGGGCCGAGCCCCTGCCAACGACTCTGCTGCTGACCCTCGCCCGCCTCTGGAGACTGGCCAGTGGAGCCCAAACAACAGCCCTTAACTCTGGGCCCGAGTGAGGTCGCCGGCCTGTTCCTAAATACGGACATTTCCCCAGCCGCCGTGTCTGGACGCAGCCACATCATGCCCAGGATGCCGTGGTCCCTGAGGACAGCAGTGAGGTGTCACAGCTAACACACAGACCCCCGTCTCTTACCTGCTTTTCTTGTTTGTGGGTCTCCGTGGCCCTGGTGGCCTCGGGGAAGCAGATGCTTCTACAGCCTGGGGGCCGGCTGGCCAGGAAGACCGCCAGGGCCCCGCTCAGGTGGGAGGGGGCGCAGCATGGGTTTTCTCCAGACTTTACTGTCCGTGATGCTAAAGGAGGCTTATCTGAGCTGCTGGCCTGTTAGGTCCCCCTGTTGGCCTAGCACCTTACTACGTTCCTGTCCCCCCCCCCCCCCCCCCCCCCCGTGACCCTGTGGCTGCCGGGCTCCCCGCTGTGTCCTGTTGGCTGGGGGAGGAAGGCACTTACTGAGGAGGTTCACCACCACCGTCTCCTTTCTGTGCCAGTGGTTGTGGATGCAGAAGATGAGGAAGTGAGAGGGGTCCACCTCCTCTAGGAAGATCATGTTGTGGCCAGCATCTGCGAATCTGGGGCCCGGGGTGGGAGGCAGGTGGTGCAGGCTTCCCCATGGGGCCAGAACTGGGCCCTGGGAGCCCTCCTGTCCCTCCACGGCCTTAGACAACTTGGTGCTCATGAGCAGTCGGGCCCCAGGAAGGGGCAGGACCGGGTGTGGGCGGCATCCCAGCAGGTGAGCTCCTGGTCACACACCGCCGGGACTCCCAGGGACTCCCCACTCACAGGCTGGACGACGCTGACCCTTTATACTTACATTTCAGCGTGTACTGAAATTTTTTTTTTGTTTTATTTGCTATCATTATAATCGGGACACACATGCCCTGTATCCTGGGAGAGGATGATAAGATTCCTTGGGACTTTGCGTCCAGAAGAAGTGCCCACGGAGCTGGGTGGGGCTTTGTCACACCAGACGTTGGACACGTGTGTCCCGTCCCAGGGCAGCAAGCCCCAGCCCTGTGTCATCATGTCCCCCACGCTCTCCAGTGTCTGGGACATGGCCGTGGAGCCGACCGGGGACGGGGCACGGGGCTCCCCTAGATCTTGGCCCTGTCTGGCACCCTCTTCCCAGACTTACCTCCCGTAGAGATGGAACTCTATGGTCTTGAGGGTTACGTGGGTTTTGCGGACGAAGAACATCATGTGTGAGTCCTTCCATAGGAGTTTTGGTTTGTCAGAAGCCTGGGCTATTGAGAGCCAGTCGCCGTTGACCTGCCGAGCAGAGGTGGGCGTGCGGTGTGGAGGGAGCAGCTGGGGCTGGTGGGCGCCGGGCCTGTCCCCCACCCGCTGCCCCCAGCCGCCACCTTCTCCCGCTCCGACGCCTGCGGCGGCTACCATATTCTCATCGATGTTGGGGTCCTGGGGGCCCGTGTGCAGGACGTGGGGGCCCCCGAGCAGAGCTAGCACCAGCCCCAGCCACGGGGTGTTCATGGTGCCGCAGGAGTGGCCGAGGGGTGACTGGCGGCACCTGGGCGTCCAGAGCCTGCGGCACTGGCCCTTTTGTGCACTGCAGGAGAGGGCTTCTGCCACGTGGCCGGCTGTCATGGGTTCCCTCCTGCCCACTACCTCCAACAATGGCCACTTGGCCGTTTGTCCACAAAGCCCCTGCCCAACCCGTGCTGACTGTCACGCGGTTTCCCAGAACCACAGCCGTGCACCTGGCTGCTTCCAGGATCCGCGAGTCCCTGCTGGGCGCCGACCTCCGATCATCGAGTCATGGAGCTCCGGACGCGGCTGCCCTGGGCGGCCGTGACGTCTGCTCGTGACAGCCGCCCGAATGGCTGAGTGCTGGGTCGTGGTGTCCAGGGCCTTGGCAGGGGACCCGAGGAGGCTGGAGCGTGCCTGTCCCATGCTGCCGCACTGGGGCTCTGGGGGCCGTGGCTGCTCTGGGAAATGCCTCACTGCTCCGCGCCTCTCCTGGAACCACCCATCTGGGCAGAGCAAGGCGAGGCCTGGGGCCAAGGAGAATGGGAACGGGCCGCGGGCAGCGGGCTGAGCAGGGGTGTAGCCCGTCTCCACTCTGGCCTGTTTCCAGAGCCTCCCTGCTGCAGGGTGACCTGAGCTGGGCCAAATTCGTCTGCTCGGAGACCCCCCAGAGCCCACAGGAACAGAGCGGGCCAGTGCAAGCGCAGGTTACCGTGTCCCCCACGGGCTGGGGGGCCTCAGGTCCTGAGCCCCAGCGTCCTCATTGTCGACGTGGCAGTGATGACTACCCACCCGCCCACTTCTTGGCTGCAGGGCTCCTTGGAGGTGTTCACCTCTGCCAGGTGCCTGCACCCCCACCAAGGCCGGTCACTGTGCTGCGTCCCCATGCTCACCCCTGCCCCCTGTGGTCTGTGCTCAAGACGGTGGTGCCACGCGGATATCAGAACCGGGCAAGGACCGTCACGAGGAAGGAAACCTTACAAGTCAGACTCAAGACATAAGATAAACCCAGCAATATGTGGAAAGGGTGATGTATTAAGGCCTTGTAGGGTTTGACCCAGAAATTCAAGGTTGGTTATTGAGAATCAACGTATTTCACATGCAGAGTGGTGGGAAAGATCGTATGAGCACCACGTTAGTGGCAGGAAGGGATCTGATGAGACTCAGCAATATTCGTGATAAAAACTCATACTGCTGTCGACACAGAAAGGAACTGATCTGTTTGAAGGGGGGTTGCCAGATTCCCCCAACAGTCCTGCCTGAGCGTGAAGCGTGGAAAACTTCCCTGGTGGGACCGTGGACGCTGTCACCACTGTGTTGGACATGGCACTGGCCCTTCCCGTAAAGGGACGGAAGGGAGTACGGGGGCGAGGTTGACAAGGAATGTTACTGAGGTCATGCGCAGATCACCTGCGGTTAAGTTCGTCATGTTGGCGAGTTCAGGAAGGCGAGTGGCCCCAGGATCTGTATGCAAAAGGCACCGTTTCCGAGTGTGAGCAATCATAATTAGGATAGGAACTTGAAGAGGCTTTATTTGCAATTCAGAAAAAAAATCAAGTAACCAGAAATAAATCCAACAAAAAAATTGTGCAGACCTTCTGCCCAGAAAACTATCAGCTAGTACGAAGATATTTAGATGAACTGAATAAATCACATACCGTGTCAACGGGTTAGAAGTCTCAGTACTGCAGTGTCCACTCTCTCCCTGGGATCCACAGGATCCTAGTCAGAATCCCAACGGGATGCGTGGCGTGTGGTCCCCACGTGCCAAGACGCTCCCACCGTTCAGTTTGGTGGAAGTCGCTCCAGCAGACTTGGGTTCTTACTGCAGAGTTTTAGTGATGAAATCTCTGTGGTATCGGTGCAAAGCTGTGGAAGAAAACACACACACCCTCCCACGAGGGGGCCCTGCAGAGAAACAGGGTAAAAGCGTTCTTAGGACTAGAAGCTGGATGCCCTTCAGGACGAAAACGAGCGTGGGCCTGCATTATACCCGCACAAAAATAAATCCCGGCAGGGCGCTGAGTGGTGTCCTGCCCCAGAGCTGGGTGGAAAGTTCTGTCCCCGGGACCTCAGAATGTGACCTTCTTTGAGATTGGGTCTTTGCGGGGTGGCCAACCCAGTGTGACTGATGTCTTTATAAGGAGGGGAGGTTTGGACACAGACGCTTGGAAGACGGCGTGAGGACCACCACGGGACAGGAGACAAAGCAGAGGTTGCAGGCTGCGGCCACAAGCCCGGGCGTGCCGGCAGCCCCAGAGCTGGAAGGGGCCGGAAGGTCCAGTCTCCCCCTGGAGCCTCCAGAGGGGGTGTGGCCCTGTGACCGCGGATGGGGGCCTTCGGGCCTCAGAACGCGGAGAGCACAGCTCTTGGCTGGCTCCGCCCCATCTGTGATCCTTTATTATAGCAGCTGCAGGGCACCCATACGGCAGGATGGGGGGCAAGTCCCGGCAGGAACAGGTGGCCCGCCCAGAGGGGCATCTGCAGAGTTCAGGGAAGGGACTGGGGCTAAGGTGTGGGAGGTGGGGGAGGGGCCAGCCAGGGGAGGGCTGGGCGGGAAGTGGCTGTGGGGCCTGCTGTGGGGCTGGCCGCAGGCAGGGCCTTGGGGAGGGACGCAGCAGGGGATGCTGCAAATGCCCCAGACTCTGGCTCCCGTCTCCTGCGGGGCCTCCCTTCGGTGGATCCTGCAGGAAGCCACCTGTTGCTGCAGCTGTAGGGACGTGGTTGTGGGCAGAGAGCGGGTCTGCAGGAAGAAGCGGAGTGTCCCGTACGGTGGACTGTCCATCTGGATGTGAGAGGTAAAAGGCCAAGCCTCTGAACCACAGGAGGACTGCAGAGCACGTCCTACAGCCTCAGGGAAAAAGAGCCTGCAGAGACGGGACAGAAAAGGCAGGATCCCTTAGCGAAAAGCCCGCTCAGCCGGACTGTGAGGAAATGGAGAACCTCTGTTCACTGGAAGACAAGGGGTGAGAATGCAGCCACAGGGTGACAAAGATGGATTATCTCCATTACCAGCCAAGGGCCCTTCTCTGGAATATGTAAGGAACACATATCAAAGCGACAAAAAAGCACTGATGGAGAAACGGGCAAAAGACGCTACTTGACAAAGAGGCGACCTGACGGCTCAAAGCACGGAAGGGTGTGCACCCTCATTGGTAACCAGGGAAGTGGAAATCATATGAGATTCTCTACACCCCCTGCCCCTAGCGCCCCAGAATGGCTGGAAAGAAAATGACCACACCAGTAGTAATGAGGATGGGAACCAGCATGAACTCGGATGCTCTGCGGCAGGGAGGTCAGTGGGTCTAGAGCCCTCAGAAGGCCAGTTGCGCGGCCTGCCAGAGCCCCTGGACATGGCTGATGCTCTGCTAGGTATGTCCCCGTAGAGATGTGTGCCCACAGGCCCCCTGCATCCCAACGCTCTCCACTCTGAAGTCCAGGGACGGAACCATGGTGCTGGCTGTCCTCGGGAGGGCGGGAGGCGTCTGGTGCTCACATTTCACAGCTGCCACGGCGACCCGCACCCCACAGAGCAGCCACCACCTGCCAGAGCCCCCCGGAGTGCCAGGGGCCTCCCCAGCCTGCTGGCATGAGAGGGGCCCCCCAACCATGCCTGTGAGGACACGGGGTGTCGTCAGAGTCCCTCCTGTTGTGGGCACTCTCTTACCTTTGTTTTGAATGAAGAGGTGCAGGGGAAGGCCCAGCAAGTTTGCAGGCTCAGGGAGGTCACGTGCGGGGGCAGCACGAGCCCTCCTGGGGGTGCAGGTGGAGCGAGGCGGGGAGCCCGCCCAGGCCCCTCGGGGAGCAGCTCGTGGGGTGATCGCCGAGGCTGCCCCTGACACTGTCCCTGCTGTGCTCAGCATGGGCACCCAGGCATTTCAGGGGCGATCAGCCGTGGGGCAGCACGTGCTGGTGCTGACCCCACAAACCAGGGGGAGGAAGGCAGTGGCGGGCAGCCCTCCCCGGGACGAAGGGGTGCTGTGGTGGTGGCCATCCTGCGTCCCAGGGTTTAACTCTGCAGCTTGTTTTCGGTCACACTGCTTGCCTGGTGGGGGCCGGCGGGGGCCAGCAGGGGCCTCCTCGGGGGTGACCTCAGTCCTGTCACCTGGCCACCTGGGACCTTGCTGGCTGCATGGCAGAGGGAAAGAAAGTTTGCGGACAGCAGTCTTTGTGAGTCACTTGGGCAAAGTGACTGGGGACGCCCAGAACTGGGAGAACTGGAGTCTGGGTTTAGGGGATACCCTCCATGCCTCGCAGAGGACCTTTTGGTAGAAACAGGGCAGTTGGCTCATTGCTTGGAGGTTGAATGCAAGAAAGGGGACTTGGTCACATTCTACTCCCTCAGGGAGAGGCCCCCTGCCTCCTGGAAGGGGTGGGGGTGAGCAGGGCCATGGAGGTGGGGTTGGGCTTCCAAGGCACTCCCCAGATTGAGAGTCTGGAAGGCCAGGGTCTTGGGTTCTGTGTTTCGATTTGGAGAGCATTTTGGGGGGCGTGTTCTTGCACGATACTGGCTACTGCCTTTAGGACCCCTCGCTTCTTGGGGTCTTTACCCCCCAGCTTCGGAGTGGCTGCCCAGGTGTCTCTCTGTGACCTGTGGTTGCCCATCTCCTTCCCACTCCCCTGAGATCCTGGTGGGGGTGAGGAGGCCCACTTGGCGCAGGTTGGGCTTCAAGATCTCTGCAGCTCCAGGAGCAAAGAGTGGGGGCCTGGGCCCGAGCTGAGGTGCTGCAAGTGGCCAAGGAAAAGTCCTTTGCCGGACGCCTGGGCTGGGGTCCTCCCTGCTCAGGAATGGCCATGTTCTGACAGGTGGGTGCTGAGGACCCTCACCTGTGCCCCCATTCAGGTGAGCACTGGCCCCTCCTGGCAGAGTTATAGGGCATGCACAGCTTTCCTGAGTGGGGCTGAATGGGGTCTCCCCAAAATTCATATCCATCCAAACCTCAGAATGTGACCTTATTTGGAGTAAGTGTCTTTGCAGATGGAATTAAGGTAAGGCTTGACATGAA